CTCCCAATATGGCCATTTGCTCGCTCTCCCCGTCTCGGGTGGGAGTTCTACCAAACACTCCACGACGGTTGCGCCGAGCCCGTAGATGTCGACCTCGGGTGTCTGCCCACCGCTCAATCGAACCTTAGGCGCTACATACCAGTAGGATCCAACCATAGTCGTTGATGTGTCGACAATCTTTGCGATGCCGAAGTCAGTCAAGAGGAACTTGTCGCCTCGGTAGAGGATGTTTGCAGGCTTTATGTCTCGGTGAATGATTGGTGAGTCTCGCGTGTGGATGAAATCGAGGGCGTCCAAGATCTGGGACAGCATCCTATCGGTCGTGGCCGCCAACGCAGCTCGCACCAACTCCGGCCTGACGTCTCTTTCCTTCTGCCTCTCTCGTCGTAGTGATTCGTAAAGGCTCCCTTCGTAGAGACGCATGAAGATTTCGATGTTCTGGCCGATCCTCCACAAATAGGCAACCTGGCGGCACGAACCTTGAGGTGCTTGTGATTTGAGACTGGCGGCCTGATTTCATGCCCTGATTCGAAGCGTTAGCTCCAGGTTGCCCCTAATCCACACAACGACGGCTCCGCTTGTCCGTAAAGTGCCCATCCGTTGGACGGATTCTTCTTGGCTACGTGACAAGGCGCACGCCACGCTTGGACATCGATCCAGCTCTGGAGAATGGTTTATGAAACCTTCCTATACTGTTGGTGATCACCCAACCCGACCAACCGACCACGGCAGCTGAAGAGCTGACACCACATGCCCGATGCCCGCCCAGGCAGCCACCTCGTTGCTATGCTAGATCAAGCCGCTTCCTTCCCGCTTCCTTCCGCATCGTGGCAATCCAGCGCTTGCCTGCTCTTCCTAGCGGCTGAGAAACGTGCTCTCTTCACCGGTTGTCGAGGGGTTTTGATCCAATATTAAGCGTGCGTCGGGCGGTCGACGTTCTAAAGCTTCTATTTCGGACATCTAGTTAGTCAGAAATTAAAGGAAGGAGGGGGAAGGAGGAAAGGCAGAATCGAGGCGAAGGGGCGGTCAAGCAGCCAGTACGCGAAGGGCCGGGTCAAGGGACAAAAGTTGGGCCCGTGCGCCAGGTTCTAATTAGCGGAGTGGGCGGCCAGGTGGAGCGAGGCCAACCAGGCACTCGGCCAAGTCGGATGGTTACACTTGACTAAACTAGCAGAGTTTGCCGTGTTCGGTAGCAAGATAATCCAGAGCCATTGCCAAGATCAATACGTAATCAGGTGCTATTTGAGTCGTCAACGACAGGGGGGGTCTAGGCCCCGTGGCAACGGATCTATCAACGGGTCACTCAGGTCAAGTTGGAGGTCTAGCCGTCTGAAGGCGTCCAAGAATGGCCATGCGCAGGCCACATGCCACGCTAAAACACAGTGAAAGTTACGGGTAGGCTAGTGTCCCTGAGGGAGACCTGGGCGAGGATCGTATTCAGCTTCTTCTGCTTCTGCTTCTTCACCTTGACTCCCTTTGTTCCATTGTTTCTGTTTCTGTCTCCGTTTCCGTCCGTGTCTGCATCTCCAACTGCAGCACTCTCGTAAACCCGTACAGTCGCACTTTGGAGCTGCCTCTCGGTCTCGCCTTGAGTGCTCAGTGCCGACCTTGTACGCCGACCTGCCGACCTGTCACGAGTCTGACTGCCTGTCTTGACCCGCGCCTTGTCTTGCAAGCGAGAGCCTGAGGGACTGAGAGCCTCCCTGAAACAAGACCGTGGTCGTTGCCGTGTTGGCGAGCCCTTGGTTGCCACCTCACCTCGGACGCAAGCCTTCTTATCTTCAGTAGACAGAGAGGTATGTCGTCGTAAGATGAGCAACTCCCTGCTTAACACTGCAGTTCTCCACATATGCCTAGCTCGCCGGGGCCTGTGCTAATCTGGAGAACATTCACTTCCTAGCACAGGCGATCCTTTTGATTCCTTGGTACAACTTCACCTGTACCTCACCGCGAGTGCTATAAAACCACGGCCGCTATATCGTTGTCGAACTTTAAAAGTCCGAGCAGTAAACCAGTAATACGAGACCTCTATAAGCATTTGGCTGCAGGGCACGCTTAATTCGTCTCGTTCCTTCCGAAACACCCCCCCAAGATTCACCCAATACGCCAATACGTCAATCCGCCAAATATCCACCGGGCAGAAGTTGGGAATCCTCGGGCTGGAATCCTGGATTCTGCATCTGACAACTCAATTCAATGTTCACACAAGTTCCTGCTGCAGCGCCCACACCACAGGGTCACCTCGCAAGCACCCAACATCACGCCTCGACCGCCTCACCGTCTTCACGGCCCAGTCGCCTGAGAGGCCTCAGTTATCTAAGAAACTACACCCAAACCCACCTGCTGTCGAGGGAACACCAACACAGCCAGACAACGCCGTCATCTCCAACAGGCGCCCCTTTGACGCAGACGTCGTCCTTGAACACCTCGGATGCTGCCAGGCCGTATTCTAATCTCCATCGGACCACCAGCGCTTCGGCTGCCGCTACGCTCTCGCCGAGTCCTTCCGACGCTGCTGCGAACAACTCGACAACACCGTCACGGACGAATACCAACCGGCTGACCCTCGTCAACCCCGAGTCGCATCCTCTCAGCCTGGCCCCGCCTCCACGTCCATCAGCCAGTCGAAGGTCGACTGATTCCGCTCTCCCCCCCGTGATCGTCGACCTCTCCAACCCGGCAGCCGACATCCGAAGCGCTACACCCCCTTCAACAGGAGGTGTGTCTTCTGCCGAGACGAACGCCAACATGGTGCGAACCCGCTCAGCGACAGTGTCCGAGACGACGGTCCACAACGGCGGAGGCTCCGGGTTGGACATCCTGCCTTCGATCCGCTTCAGCACCTTCTACGACCCGCGCGCCGCTCGCCCATCACTAACGTTCACTCCGATATCGAGGACGCTGCCCACCGGCAGCGAGATCATCCGCGTTGGCCGGTACTCGGAACGTGACAGCCAGCCGAATGTGCCTCCAAACGTGCCGTCGGCCGCACCCGTAGGGTTCAAGAGCAAGGTCGTCAGCAGGCGGCACTGCGAGTTCTGGTACGAGGGAGGCAAGTGGTATATAAAAGATGTAAAGAGCAGCTCCGGCACCTTTCTCAACCACATCCGGCTGAGTCCGCCGGGCACCGAGTCGAAACCGTTCCCCATAAACGACGGAGATATAGTGCAGTTGGGCATCGACTTCAAGGGTGGCGAGGAGATGATATTTCGGTGCGTGAAGATGCGCCTGGAACTGAACCGCGGGTGGCAGAACAAACTCAACACATTTAAGTAAGTCTACTGCCATCAATCGCTCCGCACAGATGCTAACGGTGGACGTCAAGTATGACGACGCACAAGAGGTTACGAAATATGACTGCAAGCTCTGGTAACGCCTCTGCGACGCAGTCTTACACACAGGACTGCTCGATCTGCTTGAACAGCATCGCGGTAAGTTTAACCGCTTCACGCAGCAGACCCGACGGGCAGTACTGACTCCTGACGCTCTACAGCCTTGCCAGTGCCTATTTGTTGCACCCTGTTCCCACACATGGCACTACAAGTGTATTCGATCATTACTATCGTCTCCTTCGTACCCGATCTTCATCTGTCCGAACTGCCGGGCAGCCGCAGACCTGGAAGCCGACGTCGAGGATCCAGAAGAATGGGAGCAAGCTGATTCCGAAGGGGAAAGTAACGAACAGGAAGGGGCCGCGCTGAAACCCAGCGGTAGCGGACCGGCAGCGTCAGGGACAGGCGCCCAGTCGCAGACGATTGCACCGCCACGGAAGTCGAGAGAGTCCGCAAGGAGCGTGCGGAGCGTACGGATGCCGACCCCGGCGCTCCCTGTCCTGACGCCGGCGCAGCACGACCCTGACGCTATGGACATCACCATGATGGATGGCGGGTCGGACACGCCGGCCAACAACATCCAGTCTGCTCCTCCGACGAACAGTCGGAGTACAGCGAACGGACGCACTAGTCTACCAACCGGCAACCAACTCTCAGCGAACGCCACGTCGAGTCCGATGCCCATACCCACAGCGCGGGCCGCTAGCACGCACTCCTCGGCAGCAACAACGGGTCGTAACGACACGAGGACACCGTCCCCGACCTACGGTAATCCAGCTTTGATTATTGGACATGAAGGACCGATCACCCCGCGTAACGACGCGGGGCCGTGGGTCTTTGATGGAAGTGGCGTGCGTATGCGTCTAGGGGACGCGACTATTGCGGGGACAGCCAGTCTGGACGCGGCTGCGAATGGCGACGAGATGATAATGGACGAGATACATGTCAGAGAGAATCCATAGCGCAGTACACACTTGAGGGAGGCTGGCGTGAGGCTAGCACATACCAGAGAACAGGAAGAAGAGAGGAGGTGAACTATATGGCTGTCAGGCATCGAAATACCCTTGTGGTAGTAGGACGAAATAGGGTCTATGTTGTCGACATCGATACGGCACTGCACTAAGACGGCGCTCCACATCTATACTTACTGTCTGGCGCTTGGCTTTTCCTCTATTTGCACATACCGGAGTGAGCTTGGGAGCTTCACAGAGGGAAGTCAGAGGATTGGGTTAGGTCGGGGCTGATACCATTGTTGCTCTCTTTCGCCGTTCCATTGAAGTGCTATGAAGTGCTACCGAGTGTGTACGTAGCCGAGAGGCTGGTGTCCAGCGATCGCGAGACGATAGTCTGTAGCCGGACGCCGATGACCTGTTGCCGGTCTTGAGATTTAATATAAATCATCATGTATGGTCTGCGGAAGACTCTCTTCACTCAGTTAGACGCCATGGCTTAACCTGAAAGAAGCAAGAGGTTAGCACTCCTCTGCCGCCTGTGGCATGTCACATCTAAAATACGAGTCGGACATCCAAGGGGCCGTGCTCCACGGTAAGGCACCGAAGCATATATCATTCGTGACGAAACCATTACCGTCGTCTCACTCCTCAGACTTCCTACTACTAGGCACCCATATAACCCAAGTTATCACATCTCCTCCCAACAACAAATGAAGCCCGGTTGGTGTAGCGGTAACACGAGCGAGAAAAGTGGCAGTAGGTCGCGTGAAGCATTAAGTCCACCAAGATATAGCTAGTCCTCGGTTCGAATCCGGGGCCGGGCACCTTTTTTGCTTTTTGGCCTTCCTCGCTCACTCTTCAATCACATACAGAGTAAATAGAACTTGCTTGCCATTACCAATTACCAAATACAATACACACAACGAACTCACTTCCTAAACACAGCCGCCCCCAACCTCTCAATCTCCCTCCCCTCCGCCGTCCCCCGTCCCGCAGCCTCCAGCACCCGCATATACCCCTCGGCATCCTTGTGCCTTACCGCCTCCTCGGCAGCCTTAACCCTCATCCCGCACTTCTCATACATAACCACGCTCTGCCCAGCCTCCAGCCCGCCCGCCGCCACGCACTTCCCCACAAACGTCCCCGCCAGCCTCGGATTCCCCGCCAGCAGCGTCAGGTTATAAAACGGCTCCCACCCGATGGGGCTCTTCTTGCCCCTCGCCATCTCCTCGAGCTCGCTCCAGTCGCGCTTCGCCACCAGCGCCTGCAGCCGCGTCCACCAGAGCACGCGCTCGGGCAGCCTGAACTCGGCGGCGACCTTCTTCGCGCGCCCGTGGTAGCCCAGCCGGATGAGCTTGAACACCGTCTCGTTGACCGACAGGCCCGTAAAGGTGTCCGTCAGGTCCCGGTCGAGCGCCTCCTGCAGGCGCAGGAGGCTAGCCGCCTCGCGCAGGGCCGAGAGCTCGAACGCGTTCTCCTTGCTGTTGTCGGCTAGTAGTTTTGCGGCGAGCGCGAGCTTGTCGGACGCGGTGCGGCTGTCCGGTTGCCGGAGCGACTCGCGGACGAAGACGTCTGCGCCGTCGAGGCGGCGGTCGTCTTGGTAGTACAGGTCTTTGAGGAGGGCCGTGTCCTCGCCCCCCTCCGGGTGGTTGCGGGCGGCGGCTTCCACCAGGGCCGTGGCTAGGGGTCGGGCACTGGTGACGCGGAAGAAGGCTGCGAGCGGCAACTTGCGGCGCAGGTGGTGCAGCACGAAGTAGACCAGGTCCGTGTCGCCCGACTCGACGGCCTTGTCGAGGGCTAGTTCATCCTCCTCCATGCTCAGGAGGAGGGGCACCTGCCTGCCCGCGCGGGGCTCGTGGTTGAGGAGCTGCGTGGCCAGGCGGCTGCGCCCCTCGTCGTAGGCGGCGCGGGCGATGGCCTCGAAGGAGATGCCGGGTTTCCCGGCCAGCTTGTCGACGACGAGGCGGCAGATTGCGTCGTCGTCCTCGGCGCCCAGGCGGACTTTTGCCGAGGCCCAGTGCACGTAGATCTTGTCGGTGGGGAGGCGCAGGTAGGCCGCTATGCGCAGGGCGAGGAGGTACTCGTGGCGGTTGAGCAGGCGGGCGACGAGCCCCTCCGGGGTGAGGCGGAGGTACTGCTCGTAGGAGAGCGGGAGGCCGACCTCGAAGAAGCGCGCGGCGTTGAGGACGCGCAGCGTCTCGCACATGTCGACGAAGTCGTCGCTGTTGTAGATGTCGAGCACCGACTTGCCGAAGGAGGCGGCCTTGAGGAGCTGCTTCTGCCAGTGCACGGCGAATTCCTGCCCCGCGGCGCTGACGCAGGCGTCGACGGCCTCGGGGAGCTGCGGGCGGATGAGCTGGATGTCGTCGTCGGCCTTTGGGGACTGGGCGTCGAGCTGCTCGACGGCGTCGAGGAGGACCGAGGCGGGCGATTCGGTGCCGATGCCGAAGACCTCCTCGGTCACGTCGGGGACCTTTTGGAGGAAGTCGCAGAGGTTGTTGCTGATGACGCGGACGCCGTCGATGTCCGGGACGAGGTGGATGCGGTTGTCGTAGAAGAACTGGGCGACGGCGCCGTGGGGCCCGACGACGTGGACCTCGTCCTCCCAGGCGATGACGACGGCGTCGTTGCCGCACCAGTGGAGGTACTTTGGGGGGATCTTGGACTTGGAGTCGTGCTCGCTCAGGCGGGTCTGGAAGTCGCTGGTGATGACGTGGGCGTGGCCGGTCTCGGTGTACAGGGCCGCGAACTTGCCGTTTGGCGAGACGCTGATCTGGGTGAAGGGCCCGATGTCGAGGAAGCGGTCCTCGCATTCGGTGGCGTCGACTACGTAGACGGTCTGGCCGATGCCGAGGAGGACTTCGACGGAGCGTGAGAGGGTGTAGTTGGGGGCTATGATGGCCCAGGAGTGCACGTGTCCGTCTGGGGGTGAGGCAAGCAGCTTCGGCCGCGGCTCATCGTAGGATGTGACGGATATTAGGGCGTTGTTTAAGAGGAGAGCCACCATGCCATCGTCGTAGAATCTAGGAAACGTCAGTCTCAGCCATTTATGGCCATGATGACAGGGAAAGTATATACCTGCATGAGTTCACTCCGGCCTCTTCAGCACCGTTCCCTAGAGAGAACTGGGTAAAGTCGTCCTGGAGCCCGTAGTAGCACCGCACAGTGCCATCGTTTGTGATGACTAGGAGTTTCTCGTCCACAGACCAGCCCAGGCCTTTGATGGCACCATTGTCCCACTTGATGCTCCTTAGGAGCTTGCCGGCACTGCTGTAGATGTCGATGGTTGGCTTGGATGACTTGTTTGGCTGATAAGCTACCAGCTTGTTCTCATCTCGGTAGAGTGCTGTTCATCTTGTCAGTATGGATCTCTAGCTCCCATATGTTTGAAGAGACAGTTTATGATGGAGGCTCACCGATAGCGCCAGCATAAGGGGCGCCAGCAACAATGTAGTTGTCGAGGTCGAGGTCCTCATCGAAGATGGCTGTGTACAGGGCGATCTTCCGGTAGAAGCGCTCCCCGACCTGCTCCCACCCGTCTGTGGGATGAGGTGCCTCCATTGCTGGTCATGTCATTTTCATAAATACGTGGTAAATCTTGAGATACGTTTACAGCTGAAGCATCAAGTCAACTGTGCATGAGCTCGACGACGACGGCATCCATGAGTGAGTGCACAGTGGAGCATGACTGCCCGGCTCCAGCTGCTACCTTGCAGGAAGCTCGGGCCAGCCCGCTGCTCCTGTGATGCGCCAAGCTTTCCACTACGTAACTGCTTTCTCCCCCACAATCCAGAGTCTTCAACCCAACGTCAACATTGAGCATCGTCAAAGGTGCCAGGCACACACAAGTCTCGACCTGCAAAAACGCTGCTTGCTGGCGAGTGGCAGAGGCACAATGCCCAACTGGCGCGATGAGTACCTCAGCAACATAGAGAAGGCTCAGAGCGAGAACCATGTCGACCGAGACCTTATCGCAGCCTGTTAGTGCGACTCTGCTGTGCCCCCCGCCATGATGATACTCTGCCATCAGAACTAACCATAGCACCCTCCAGACTCACAGCTCCTCGACCGCGTGACAGCTCTGGAAGCTGAGAAAGCGGCCTCGCAAGACTCACAACCCCCCCAACGACCAACACCAAGGCAGCCGCCCTCCGGCACGCCGTCTCCGCAGCCAGCAGACGACCCCTCCACAGACACCAAATCCGTCTCCCGCCTGCGCATAGACCTAGCCGAAGCCCTCCGCCAAAAAGGCCAGCTGCAGTCCCGCCTCAAGACCGCAGAAGACGAGCTCGCCCGGCTGCGCAACCAGACCTCGGCCGACAGCCGCGCCCTCCGCTTGCTCGAGGCCGAGCGCAAGACCCTCTCGCGCAAGCTCCGCGACCGCGACGACGAGCTGCGCGAGAAGAAGAAGCTCGTCGCCGACGTGCAGGACGAGCTGGCCGTGCTCAACATGGAGCTCACGGTCGCCGAGCGCGAGCGGAAGCGCGCCCAGGACGAGACCAAGGTCCTTGTCGATCGCTGGATGCGGAGGATGGGCCAGGAGGCTGAGGACATGAATAATGCCAACGAGCCAAGCTTGGCGCGGCGGTGATGGGGACTGGCATCACTCGAGTATCAGGTAGGCTTACGATTCCAGTACAGGGCGTCCCGCCACCGCACCGAGAGCAAGATATGCTTTAGTGGTACACTTCAGCCTGGTATGTACTTACGCCGACGTACTACTTCTCTTACGACAACTCCTGTCAATGCCAATCGGTATCCATTCCTGTTGTTCAATGCTAAACACCCTGCCTATACAAATGCCCGGGTAGTGCCCATGACTGTGGTATCCTGATGCTACACAAAACCATGCTCCGCTGACTCCTCCGCGCCTTCATCATGCTCGTGGCTGATACTGAATCTAGCCGAACTACTACTTCTTGGTCGATATGCAATACGTCCCCCCTTGGTGTGTCCAACTGACATAATCCGAGGGATATGTAAGGTCCTCGACGTCCAATATGCTCATGGCAACATCGTTCGACGCGCTCTTGTGCTCGTGCACGAAGCTCTTAAGCGACACGATCTTGCACCCCGACTTCAAATCCAGAAACATGCTCACAAGACTGTCGTTCAGCTGCGAGGTAAAGGCTTGGTTGTTCACCAAGACGACATCGGCCCGTCTGAGCACCTCAAGGATCCGCTCATTCGTGCGAAAGTCGCCTCGGTCGAGCTGCACCTTGCCCGGCGCGACGCCCCAGAGCTGGCACCGCGCCTGGAACTCTCTCAGCTGGGCGTCTGCGAGATCGCAGGCGTTCTCCATCATTTCGCAGCCCCAGCTTTCGCAGCCTATCTCTAGCGCTGCCTGTAGGACCACATTGCCGACACCGGAACCCAGGTCGACAAAGACCTGCTCCGACTTCATCCTGGTCTTTTCGACGAGAATATCCGTTATGAATGGGTGGAGCAGCTCGCCATAGACGTTGTCCGAGCCGTTTTCGTACTTGAGCAGGAGCTCGACCTTTGGCGCCACCGTGCGGTCATATACCTGGTCCAGAATAAATGCAACGAGATCGGACGGAAAGCTGCTTATGCTGTCCAGATGTTTCGCAATCGTCCCATCTTTCTGCAGGGCAAATAGCCTCTTGTTGTAATCCTTTACCGCAGCTTTGAAGGCCTGCCCATCATTAACGTTGGTGGACTTTTGCAGCTGTCGGATGAGCCCTGTCGATGGTTCGAGGAAGGGCTGCGCGTCTTCATCGTTCAGATAGTTCTCGGCTACGAACTTGACGACCGTTGTGATATCCTTAACGGCATCGATCTTATCTTTGCCGTACACCAGCTC